GGCGGCGGGGCCGCCCCCCGCCCCGCTGCCGGCACCGGCACAGAGGCAGCGGGGGGCACGGGGCCGGGCGCAGCGTCCTGCACGGACACAGACACTGACACGCGCCATGTCCTATCCCAGGCACTGTGTCCCTGTCCCAGGCACCACGTCCCCCTGTCCTGTGCAGGGCATGGGACACCCCACATAGGCAGGGTGAGAGGGCTCCCGTGTTCCGGGGAGCCTCCTGTGTGTGATCGGACCGGGCTAAGCGTGTGGCCGGTTCCAGGCCCGCTGGCAGGTCCACTCTGGGCTGCACAGAACACGGCCCCGCATCAGGGGTACTGCTTTGTGCCCATTTTTGATGGGAGCCCCAGCTGCAGAGCACCAGGGCCTGGGAGCTGTTCTGGCACCCGCTGCCAAGGCCTGGGCACAAAAGTGGCATCCTGGAGCCTCCTGGGCTCTCCGGCCACGTCACTCTGCCCAGATGAGCCTCAACTTGCTTCATGTGCCAAGGAGATGCTGCCAGAGCCCCCCGCGATGCCCCCTCTGCTCTTCCCGGCAAGCGGCAGCACTAGGGGACGGACCCAGCGCTCCGGGAACACTCCGTGCACCGCCGCTTCCTTCGGAGGCTCAGGGAGCTGGCGGAGCGGAGAGGCAGCGGCATCGCTCGTCCCGGGGGCCCAAGCGCTGCCCCTTGGGCTCCGCGCGCCTGCAGGCTCCGCACAGCCGGGAAGCCCTGGGCACAGCCCAGAGCTCCTGCAAGAAGGAGCCAACGTGAGGCAGCCCTTGGTGCCCTGGGCGAGCGGCAGCGCAGGGCTCCCTGCGCAGGGGCACGCGGGAGGCTTAGTGCTTGCACAGCACTGACCCCTCCAAAGTGCTTTGCCAGCATTAACTAATTAAACTGACCCTAGTGCTCCGGGTGCAGAGGGCAGGACCTGCGTGAGCAGGTTGGGTCGCTGCCCAGGGAGCAGCAAAGAGGGACAAGGAGCTGGCCGAGAGGCAAAGGGCAGCGCAGGACCCCCCCCCAGGCGGGCAGCAACGGCCCCTCGGGCTGCTGCCGCCTCCCCGCGGGGCAGGCCT